CAAACTAGGATTGCGTACCATCACGGAAAAATAAAGTTGCTGACTGAGTGCTCTGCTGTCCGTGACTTGTTTACTTCCCAATCATTCAGACTCTCACGAGGCAGTGAATGATGCGGCGTATGGTCAACCGGTGAAAACTAACGATTTTAAATTGGCTCACTACTTGACTAGCCTATTGGTCCCAAGCAAACGAATAACGTACCCCATTCTAGTACTACACTATGTTTGTATTGATTCGCTATGAAAGTTTGACAGATAAAATGAGGGGTTCGTGGATTTTCCTATATTTCGAGGGGTGCATCGATTACCTTGGGATCGAAGAGAGTACCAGAGCTGAGCCAAAAAGTTGAGCTCGTTTCTTCGGGAACTTCTGGTCTCAGAGTGGAAGTGATATGCAGAATAAGAGCCGTGATTGTCGTACAAATCAAATGGTAATCACTTCACCGTGACGACAAGTGACAACTTTTCACCGTGAAGTGACATGCGTAATAAGCCCCTCTGTTTACTGGATTCTGGCAAAGTTGCCAGCTTTCTTAATGGGATATCTTCCCGTATATGGAGAAGGAATACAGACAGCAAAGAGTTAGCGGTTGTGTGCATGGATCTACCCAAGTAACCATAAGCTAATTGGGCTGTTTAATTTCGAAAAACATACCGTTAGTTGACAGCTCGCTCCCATACAGAGTCTCAGTCACCGAGGGGCGCTAAGATGGTGTTTTTTTCTTCTAATGTAATCGCACTAAAATAGTTCCAGTGCACCAACATTGGATTTTAGTTACATTTTTAATGCAGATTACAATTATGCATTCACCTCAATACCCTTAAACAACCAATTTGCCTTTTGATAATATATCGATGATATACGGTTGGCGTAGGGCTTCTATGCTTTTGATCAGCCTTATATTGCAAAAAAGCGAATTAGCGGGCTTGTTGGCTACTTGGGTATAATCATAACGAACAAATAAGACAAAGGGGTTATTCTGTGAATCGAGTGACGTGACTCACGCAAGATGGGAAATAGGTAATCGTATCTTTAAAACGATGAAATACTATCTAAACCTTTGAAAACGCTCAATTACTAGCCCTTATTACGAGTGTCACTTTACGGTGAAAACGAAATGAAGTGACCAATTGTCATGATTGCCGTGTAAATCAAATGGGAATCACTTCACCGTTAGTGATAAGTTGTCATTTCACCGCGAAGTGACATCGGTAATAAGGGCCATTAGCTACTCAGTATTTTAAATTTGTCGAACCTCTTAACGGAATCCCTTTATGAAGAGCTTTGAGTGTGTTGGTTTATTTCCTTTAAATTCCGTTATAATTGCTTATCTTTTGACAGATACGCGTATTTCGTCTACTACTTGAAGACTTCATCAGTGCAAAGTGGTGTTGAGTACTTGGCACTGATGAAGTCTGCAAGTAGTAGACGAAATACGCGTATCTGTCAAAAGATAAGCTACTCGGGTTTACTGTTCTGATTGTGTTTTTTTACAAGAGGAGTGTAGTGACAGGCAAGTTTCCTTTGGAAGCTTATTATATATGCCTTTTTAAGAGGCTTATTTTGGAAGCTTCCTTAAAAAGCTTCAATTAGCATCTTGGTTTAGAAGCTTCATATAGAAATCCTATTCAAGTAATTTCACGTTTATTTGGCGCTCACCTAAGCTTGATTTGAATGAGTAAAGGTCCACCCACAAAGCATCCGGACTTGCTTCGGTGCCGAAAAATGCAGTGTGAAACCCCATTGCTTTTCAAATGTTTTTAAAGCGATACTGGATATTGTCAGTATTAACAATATTGTCCAATCTGGTGTGCAGAGGGGGGGCTATTGGCCCACGTACATTGCATGCTGTGCGGCAAATTTGACAGTTGACAATAGATTTGGCTGTATCTTTGCCGCTCCGTGTCACTAACGGATGGAATGTGCGTGAGACTTTAGACTAACAAAAGCCGTGTGCGTTCATTGAAGATGTCTCCAGCAAAACAAAATAACTGACGTTGTTGTTTGGAACTCGTTTTGTGCACGCTGATCTGTACTAATATTAATCAAAAAAGTCAATAATTAAAAAAAGGATCATCCTGTGCTTTTTCTCCACTTGAACTCCAAAACAGGTAGGCTTCGAATCACTTTGACATAACCTTTTCGTTTGTCAAGGTGAGACAACCCTACTCAAAATTTCTCCAATCCGGAGCTTTGTTGATTTCCTTGCGAAAATTTCCCCCCTGAACATCGAAATTCTCGGAACGAAATCAGTGTTCCCTATATTTATAATTTGTTTTTGTTATTGATGTTAAAAAACGACGCGCCACCCCACTAAGCAGTTGTCAAAGTTACTTCAAAATCGATCTGTAAACAAACAGTATTGTGCTCCGTCTGAATGGACGTCTTGTTTGCCCTAATAAAAATAGCCATGAAAAAGTGTTTAACGACGTGTTCGGGGCATCGTCCAAACCATTTGAGGAATAGTTCAAACATTTGGGCTACCGTTCGTTTATGGTATTTGTTTATTAGGGCGCATCGTTATCTCCCAGATAAAAATGCAAACAAAACGTCGAATAAATCATGTAACAAACAATCAAAAGTAGCGAGCACAACAACTCCTCAGCTCAAACATCCCTTTTGTTTGTTTACTTAATTTTATCGCTCTCTCCCCATCTGTCTCATGTGCGAAAACAAACAAAGATTTCAAATGCGGAAATCAATAGAAACTTGGCTACTTAGATTCGTTACTTAATTTCTCGTTGGACTTCTTTTTTTTAATCCCCTATAACCCAGCAAGCGCTGGACCGCCTCTGTGTTTTCTTCTGTACGTACACAACAACACAAATCAACACAAAACAATCTGTTCTTTCGTTCTACTGTTTTACTAGGAGGAAAATAAAACATATTTAGTGCTCTACTAGGATTTTCGCTGTAAGTTTTATATCATTAGCTTAAGTTTATTTTCTGCTACTACTACTACTGCTACGACCATACGACGACTATTACTACTACTACTACTACTTGACAACACGGAAAGTAGAAAAGGTTAGGAAGTATCTTTCTCTCTAGCTCGCTCTTGTTTCAACCGGATTTAACGAACGCGAGCAAGGCAAGCAAACACAGGGTAGCGCACAAATCCGATTCTTTTCATTTTACAGTGTTGTTAGAACCCGTTTCTTTTGTTTTCCCAATTTTCTACCAAGAGAGAAAGGATTTTATGTGATATATTAAATTAAAAGAAGGTCGCGCAAAACTGCACATCCAACCAAACCTGGACAATTTATTTAACGGAAAGCCGAAATCGAAATTGGCAAACGGTGCGCACTCAATGAGGACTTCTGAGCCATTACCCCCTCTCGCCGTGGAGAAAAACTGGAACATTTTTTCGATAGAGAAAAAAAAATGGTAGCTAGTTACTAAAAGGCATCACACAAATTGTTACACCCAAACGATTTCAAACCAGAAATTTTTTGAACGGATTTTCTCCGCATCGATTCGCGGTAATTTTGCTCAGTGTTCACTCGGATTGGGGCTCGGATCAATTTCAGAGAAAAGGAAGCTTACTTAATATTTTTTTAAAACTAGTTTCTAAGTAGATGACACCGGACAGCAGAGTTATTTTATTTCAAACTACAATAGATTCGCAGCAAAAGTATAGAAAATTTTATCATTAGTTATTTTTAATTTTATTTTAGTTTCCCCATTTTAAAAGCTATTATTAGTTGTATTTTTTTTTTATAAAAACGGTAGTTTTATTATTTTTTACAAGAAAATCACTGAGAAGAGAAAACCGAAAAACAAATCATGAACGTGCTAAAAGTAAATATTTTTAAATAAGCCAATAAATCACAGCAGAAAGCGAAAAGAGTTTAGAGTAGAAAGTGTATTATTGATTGTATAAAAGGAGAGAAAAAATAAAGAAGAAAAGAGAACTGCAAAGAAAAACGGAAAGATTTCTTTTTTTGTTTCAAACACTTTTTTTGCAAACGTTTATTTTTATTAAATTAATTTTAAATGCAACCAGCCGAGGAAAGCCAACAGAGAAGGCAGGTTAAACACGATGCAAGTGGAAAAGAAGTATTTTTATGGAAAAACCTATATATTTTATAACGTTTTATATTCGCGAACGTGAGAAAGTAGAGTAAATATTTCTTGCAAAGGTAAAACTATATTTCGTCTCCTTGATTTTGTATATCGCTGGCGAAAGTGAGTTAAAATGTGCACATAAACAATTTTAATTTGAGTAACGTAAATTCTGAGGCACAAACATTGATCCGGAAGAAATGCGATCGGACGCTTATTTCCTGTATTGTTTTATATTAGTTTTCTCGAGTTTAGTTTTCATTTTAAACTTTCCCCCATCCAACAACAAATCAGAGCAGCGCTGATCAAAAATTTTAAATTCCTAACTGAAACAAAGCAAAAGAAAATAAAAGAAACGAAAAACGGCCATTAAACTTTGAGAAAAAATCATAACAAGTATTACACACAAAAATGAAGTAAAACAAAACGAAAAAAAAACAATGCAATGGAAAGTAATAATCTATCTAACGTAACGAAGTAAGAAAAGCGAACGGAACTTGATCAGTATCATTGTAGGAATAAGCAAAAAATCATGCAAATATTTCACTCAAACTCTTTTAAGAATTAATGAAGGAAACCAAAAGAACGAAATCAACTCTATATAAAACTAAAAAAAAAAACGAAAATATTAAGCAAATCAGCAGAGGTATTTATCGTAAACAAAACAAGTTTCTGTGTTACAACAAATTGAAAGTAAACAAACAATGAAAATTAGTATAAAGTGATTGGAAATGGTGAAGGACAGAAAAAAAAACCGAAACGTGAGAGAGGAAAATTGCAAAAGATCAGATAAAAGAAAATCACAGTGTATATTATGTTATAAAAATAAATGTGCCATTTTTCCATAATAATTCCCACCGGGCTTGTGGATTGATCCGAACATCAAATACTCCTCCTTCTTTTCAACCTCTTCTTTATTATCGTCAAACCAACTACCAATCTCGATGGCAAACAAAACACACAATCACAACCACTTAATCAATCGACGGCAGCGATTGCACCTTCCGCTGAATCCGAATTTTCTCCTTAAACACCGGCACTTCCGCCTTCATAACCTTCCCCTGCAGCATAACCCCATTTGTGTTGTTGTTGTTGTTGTTGTTGTTATTCACCGCCGCATCCAATCCCCGGATTTCCGCCCGCCCGAACATCTCATCTCCAAAATGAGCGGACATCGTCTTCAGCAGCACCGGTGACCGGATAACCGGTTTTCTGGGAATCCTCGGACACACCGGACGCCGTGGGGTCACCTGGAAGAGGGAATTCGGTGGAAAATGGCCTCGGATGTGACCGACGAAGGTGCCTTCGCTGCTACCGGTGCTACTGTCCAGCGAGCACTTGGAATTGTCTGCCGTTTTGGCTTTCTCTTCACCGCCGTTGGCGGCCAGGGCACGCCGTTTCTTCTCCTGTTTGATGGTCTGGAAGTTTTTGATGAAGTTACGCGTCGATTGAGAGATCATTTTACCGTCCAGCAGTACTGGAAAAGATGGCGAATGTTGCAACATTAAAGGTCGATCAAAGGTAAACAGCAGTCAACTTACACAGTCTATGTCCGGCAGCGGCTGTGACCTTCTCCCGGTAGTGGACGTCCTTCTGGGCTACACAACCCTGCAAGTCCAGGACGCGAAGGGAGTAGAGGGCACTGATGACGGGGGTGATGTCCTCCGTTGACTTGAAGCTGTTTTCCGATGCCAGCAGGACTTCCAGCTTCCAGAGCGGTTCCAGAGCGGTCATGTGAGTAAGCTTTAGCTTTTTGATATTCAGCACCTTGAGGTGGTTCTGTGAAATGGGTAGATTCGTTTTATAAAAGCAATAGGGGTTCAGACAAGGGAAGGGGTAGGTCACTCCGCACACCAATCTTGGGTAATCTTTTTTGTCAGTGTGCCACAAGTATGCCCCAGGTGTGCCGATTGTGCCGGTCATATAGCAAACTGCGATTGTTTGTAAAACGTCCATCCCGGCAACCCGATATTTTTTTCCCCTCTGTTCGGGACCTAACACTACTGCGACCAGTAAATTTATCTATTGTAGTATATCCCGTGTCCTTAGTTTAGTGCATGTCGTATCACTCCATCACTATTGACAAATGATGAAGTATTCGATTTTTTTACAGTTGCCACTCTTGTATTTATCGCAAGGATCCGACTCTAATTGAAAGGTCCCGCTATTTATACCCTTCGGAGTGTTGAAACACCCTCCAAAGGGGCGCCCCTTTGTCAGTCAAAATTGGATTTCTTAGTAACAAAATTAAGGTATGACACCGATGATGACCATGCATCAGAACCCTAGTCTTAACCACTTCAAACTAGGGAACAACGAAGAGAAGATTAGGAATCACATAGATGAAGACAAACTAACTCATTTTTTTGCCTTGTTTCAAGATCATCCTCGGTGGACAAAGCCGAGTCTTGTCACTATCAACAAGGCATAAAAAGTAACAAGGACTAAGATGTGTTCCTTGGATTACTGAAAAATCCTGTTCCCCTAGTTTGAAGTAGTCAGGACTAGGAATCAGTGGTAGATCTTACATCCCGTAACGTACCACGAAAAGGTGATCTACCCACGTTACGGGGTAACCCGGTATTTCTGACACCTTGAATGTTCTGGTTTGAAATCGCAAGGATGAATCGGATTGAGGATGACGTGGGAAGTGGTGGGTGTGTGAAATGTTAGTGTTTTAAGTTCATAGGATGATAAAAGTCCTGTGTTTTAGGGTTTTATTATGCCCTTAGAGGCATACCAGAAACCTACACTAATAAAATTTCACACATTTTTATTGACGAATTTCTATGTGAAATTCCATATGATTTTCATGTGATCACACATAAACAGAATCCATCCAGAAGCACACATGCAATTTATGAGTCAAATGAATAGTATGTGTGGCTACACATGGCTTTTATGTGTACACATATTAAGTATGTGCCCGACACATAGATATTATTTATTGATTACATTGCAAAAATTCATGGGTGGGACACATAAAAACAATCTTTGAAATTTTATCAGTGTAGCCTATCGTGCTGTGAAAAGCAACGCCCAACAAACATTGAATGTTGAATAAGAGCTTATTCAGGCAAAAATAAGCTTCATCAGCTAAAAAATTGCTTATTCAGCTGTTGATCAACTCAAATTGTTTGTTGGGCGATCTATCAGCGGCCGGAAAGAGATGGAACTGGTGGGGAACGTTTTTGAACACTGACTATACTGCCCATAAAAGCATAACTGTCCCACATGAATAGGAAATCAAGCAAAGATGGGACAATTATGCGAGTATCGGCAGTATAGAGGATGATGAATAGACTTCTGCAGTTTGTTTTGTGTGAGTTGCATCATTATTTGAATTAAAGGTGATAATGGGGTCTGAATAACCGCCTCTTTCTCTTGAGCTTACTCTAGAACCTACATTTCATATTTAGATCTATAAGTAAACTGCTGGTCGCAGGGCTGTTATCAGTGTATTTTCTCAATCGGAAGGGAAGAATTTATTTATGACGACATCAAAAACAAGCGTTTCATATGCAAGACGGAGATTTCTTTAAAAAAAAATCCGGAAAAGAATCCAGAGTTGAGCACCAACTGCATGATTTTCCTTAAAACCTCCGATAAAAATACTCACCGCCAGCGCCTTCATGCACTCCTCGTCGAAATCGAACCGGGCCGTTCCGTCCAACATCTGCCGTTCGATGTGTATCTGTTCCAGCTTCTTCAGGTTGCCCAAATTTTCCAGCTTCGCAATTTTGTTGTACCCCAGGTAGAGCTGTTTTAAGTTTTTCAAACCGTCCAAATTCTCAATCTTCCTTATATTGTTCCACTGCAGATAGAGGTGCGTCAGGTGCGTAAAACCTCCCAGCTTTTCGATTCGGGATATCTGATTGTTGTGCAAATACAGGACCAAGATCCGTTTGGTGGGGTAGATATTTGTCTGCGGAAAGTAAACCCGTTAATCGTAAAACCGTATGTACGTTGCATGTTGGTTCCGAAATTCGCCGAAATGTGTCACAGCACAAATTCGTGTGCCCATAAAAATGATGACGTCGAAAATCAATAAAACAAAACAAAAAACGGCGCACTTAATAATAATTGATCGACATGTTCGAAAACTATTTCGTAAACGGTTAACCTCGAGCTAATTCTTCGGAAAATATATGCCGCACATCACGTGCGCTTTCTACGAATAAATGCACTGTAAACAACACATGCACATATTTTCGAATGGTTTGATCCTGAAACCAGCAGAGCAGCAGGCAGGCAGGCAAACGAAATGCATTTGCGTGACCCGGCAAACCAATTTTTTTCCAAACATGAAAAAAAAAACATTCGTCATGTGCCACATAGCTACTTACGATTTGGGTAATGTTTTTATCGTTCAGATAGATGTGTGTTAGATTGGTGCTGGACTTTTTCGCCGATTTCTTGTGCTTCATCTTGATGATGGGTTCAATTGAAAATTATCCTTAACGAATTACAATTTTCCTTGGACTATCCTTGAAAACGGTTGTGGAAAGTTCACTGGACGACGGTTTTCTGCCAATGCAGTGCGGCAGGCAGTTTGGCGAAAAGCTAGTAAACAACCGTGCCAAACAACCGGCTAGTAACGGTTGCTACCGTCTGCGCAGCCCCACGACGTCGTCGGATGTTTGTTTTGATTCGAATAGCACTATTTGGCTAACCGACTGGGAACAAGAGTGATGAATGCTCTAGGATCGAATGAAGCACGTTTATCGAAATGGTGACATGCAAGGCGAGGTAAGGAGCATCCACGGGAAGAAGTACTGCCATAAATGCCGGTGATTGGTAATTTGCTCATTTTTATTAGATTTGCTTGTTGGATAGCTTGCTTGGTGTGGGGATTTTGGGGTTGTTCAAGTTGCTTAAAATGTATACATAGGTAGCTAGCATGCTTGTTGGTTTTCTGTAGACTTCGAATACAAAGTCGAAGGTCGAGAAATCTCCGTCTTTTTCTACCTCGTGAGTGAACTTTATATTTTTGTGAATGCTGTTGATTCTCATATAAAATTCGTGCAAGGACCTCCCGTTTACCTCTACGCGGAAGACATCGTCGACAAACCTCGACCAATAGTAGACCGTTCTCCTTCAGGATCGTCTCCAGATTAGCCTTTTTGAGGAATTTCCTCGAAAAGGGACTTAGTTTTGATTCAACTTCAGCTCAATTCGATCCGAACCGTGTTTATCCATGCTGCATCCTTTCGTTGAATTAAAAACCAGTTATTCAAAAGGTTGACTGCTTCCTTTACCCGGTACGCTGGAAAAAAGAGCTGTGACGTCAAAAGATACAAGCTATCCGGGACTTGTCAGCTCCTATGGATGTCCCCAGCGTTCGCTTGTTCCTTCAGGCATGCGAACTTTGCAAAACTTTTCGACGAACTGTTGTAGGCTGGGAAAATTAAAGTAGGTTCTGTCATACGATCTCCTGTTCATTTTTTCGGTTGATGCTTCTGTTCTGTTCCAGTATGAGTTGGAGGTACGCTGAACCACAAGATGCCTGTGGATCAGTCAAGGTCGTGCAATTGTTACCGGTCAATCACCGAGAACAATGGCTTTGAAGCTGATTGGCTTTGTACAGCTTTTGTCATAATCATAATTAAATTTATAGGAGGCTAGTTTATTAAATTTAATTGCTATAGGAAGGCTCACTCATACGTAAATATCTGTGTTTAGCATTATATAAATTTTTTATTTACTATATCTTAAAACTACATTTGTTAATTTATGTTTAACCTAAAATTTATTACCTAAAGGGCGAACACGAAATTATTGCGACAAATTCAACAGGGCATAACTTTTTTTACCATTGGGTAAAAATCAACCAAATTTTGCATACTTTCTCATTGATGTGTATTGTGTGCATGCTGTCAAACTCGAAGTCGTGTTTCTCGATTCAACGAAAATGGAGGTGAATTAACGCGAGTTGAGAGAACAAATTCTTTCCAAACACCTGGAATTTCCTGACCTGTCGCACCGGCAGTTGGGAAAAATGTTGAACATTCACCATTCAACCGTCTCCAGAGTGTTGAAGCGGTTCCAAGAGCGGTTGACGTTGGACCACGACAAAGGAGCTGGAAGAAAACCGGGACCGGAGAACAAAAAGACGGAGGGATAGGTGAAGCGGATGATTAAAGCAAATCCCAACGTCTCAAGCCGTGATTTGGCTAAAAAGATCGGCATGTCGCAGAGCTACGTCCAGAATGCAAAGAAGAGAGCTGGACTACATACATACAAAGTACAGAACTTCCCAAACCGCGATGAGCGGCAACAATCGACGGCTTAAACTCGGGCACGGAAGCTCTACGAGAAGATGCTAACAAAATATGGCTGCTGTGTGATGGACGACGAAACGTATATAAAAGCCGATTTTAAGCAAATTCCAGGGTTGGAGTTTTTCACCGGCAAGAGCAAGTTCGATGTGGACGACAAATTTAAGAAGAAGAAAATGTCGAAGTTCGCCTCCAAATATCTCATTTGGCAGGCCATCTGCTCTTGCGGACTGGGCACAGTAAATGGCGAGATCTACAAATCTGAGTGCCTCAAGAAGCGCCTTTTGCCGTTCTTGCAGCAGCACGACGAAGCTCCGCTATTTTGGTCAGATTTGGCATCATGCCACTATTCTAAAAGTGTCCTGGAGTGGTATGAGGCCAATTCTGTCCATTTTGTTCCAAAGGACATGAATCCACCAAACTGTCCGGAGCTGCGCCCGGTGGAGCAGTACTGGGCAATAATGAAGCGGGAACTTCGGAAGAGCAAGAAGACAGTCAAAGACGAGAAGGACATGTTAAGAAAATGGAGAAAAAAAAACTGAGAAACTGGTACCGGATGACACTGTAAAGACTTTGATGGAGGGCATCAAGCGAAAATGCGTTCAATTTTACACTCAAGGCTCCATCGATTAACTTTTCTTTTGATTTTTGAAGTAAATATATGTATAAAACTACCCTAAAATTTTGGTTTGATTCTAAACATTATAAGAAAATTTGCATGACATTTTCGGTGTCGCAATAATTTCGTGTTCGCCCTTTATTTCAAAATAGAATACGTCAGCACAGAGATGTTCGGGAAAGCGGTCAGCGTCATTCACAAGGAAGATTTGATGACAGTTGCGTCCAGTACTATACAATTCATTCCTCTCAGTTTTAGGACAGTACAGCAAGCCACTCAGAAAGATACGATGCTTTGTAACATCTACGGGTTCGTGCAGAAGCATTGCCGAAGTCTAGATCGGCAATTGACAATCTAGAAGTCCGTGATGTTTGCTGAGCGTCTTGTCATTCCGGTGCAATGGGACCGTTGTCTCTACCAATTGTAAACGTTGCAAGAAGTCGCCAAGTCAAGCCAACCGCGGCACCGCGCACAGCATCACCTTAACAGTCAACAGCCACGATTGCCATTCTCCGGAGTGTTTTCACACGTTTCGGAATGCCGAGCACCCCGGATAGTGACAACGGTGTGCAGTTCACGAGTGCCGAGTTCACTAGCTTCAGCCTCGACAATGCTGTCGACCTTGTCACCACGGCACCTTATGATTCGCAATCCAACGGGCATGCCAAGCGTTTTCTCGTGATTCAAGGTACGCCTACGCAAACTAACACTATCTTTGGGTTGGGGAAAGATTCCCCTATCCGATGATTGCGTTCGATTGTCGAGGAAAAAATAATCGACGTTTTGTTTATAAAAATTGATAGGACCTTTTCAATTGTTGGTCTACAATATATTTAATTGGTTCCGCTTTTTGATAGATCGTAATTCTATCCGCCAGTATATGAATATAGCTACTATAGTCTGGAATTGTTGCGTCCTTCAGTTATTCGAGTATAACAATAACGCCTGCACTGTACCAAAACATCATCCTCTATTCGAATGAAACCTCAGACAATTGTAACTGAAACATCGAAATCGCTTCATCGGTTGATAGCTGCAACCGGATGCCGGTTGTTTTCTAATCAGATGATGCAGAAACAAAAACATTGATACGAGAAGCGAACGGACCTCAGTTAAAATCGAGGGGGGCGACACATCTAAATCTCACTTCTAGATACTCGAAAAATTTCGTACTAGTGAATGAATCTTCGAACAATCTTCTATCATTTTTCCAATCGTCATCAATCTGCTTTCTATCTACTCAGCGTGGGCGCAGCTAACCACAGCAAAACAAAATTTTCCTACATCGTAGATAGAGTCGCCCCCTCGGTTAAAATACGTAATGCTCCCTGTAGAATGATTGTCATCCCAAATTGAAATGCATGTGGTATTGGTTCAGCCACATAACGCAAATCATCCAAAACGATTATGTAAATAATTCTATTGAACTTCATTTACTGATCTGAACTGACAAACGAGTTTGAAGCATAGCCAGAGCTGGTACGGTCATGAATATTTCGTGTTGGAGGAATTTTTAAGTCCGTGATGGAATGACTGATCATGGCTATTCAGTCTAGAAATGTAAACAATCGAATAAATCTAATGTAAAGCTCTTGTATGTCGTACTATTCTTAAATGTTTGTCCTCTGAGCGCTGTATGTTTTACAGCCCATTTTAAAATAAATATCATCCATCCCTTGGATGACAATCATATGGATGTCCATCAGCTGATGAGGAATTCAACCAATTCGAAAGCATATTGTGAAAGGGCTCGAGTAATGCAATAATAATTCGATGTGTTGCGGATGTTTACGTTCAGTGTAGAGATTAGCTTCTGATGTGGTGCTAGACTGAACCAAAACATCCGCAATACTTCGAATGATTATTGCATTGCTCGAGCCCTTTAACAATATGCATTCGAATTTCGGATGATTTTCTTATGGTTGAATTCGTCGTCAGATGATGAACATCCATATGACTGTCATCCAAATACAGGATGATTTTCGTTTGAAAATTAGCTATAAAACATACGAAACTCAGAGGACAAACATTTAAGAATAGTGTGACATGCAAGTGCTTTTAATTAGATTTATAATTTGATTATGTACAATTCTATACTGAATAGCCATAATAATAATGCAAACGATAACTCGGCTCTGTAAAGTTTATTCGATTGAGCCTGTACAAATAAATTAATATAAAAAAAGCCATAATAAGCCATTCCATCATGGATACAAAAAAAATCGTGGTGGAGGAAACCGCCTCTACCACAAATTAGCCAAACATTGGTTTTCATCCTTTACCTTTGTTCGTAAAAGCTCTGATAGCGATGCATATGCTTCCACCTCGTTTGTCAGCTTACATCAGCAAATGACGTTCGATAGAATTATTTACATCATCGTTTTGAATGATTTGTGTTATGGGGCTGAACCAATACCATATGCATTTCCATTTAGTATGACAGTCATTCTACAGAGAGCATTAGGCATTTCAACTGAAGGCCCTATCCCTTCTCATAACAAGTTTCATCCAGTATTCGAGAGGAAAATCATTTGATTTCAAAACAACCGTCATCCGGTTGCAGCTATCATTCGAAAAAGCGATTTCGGTCTTTTATTTTGAATGGTCTGAGGTTTCATTCGATCAGAGGATGATGTTTGTGTACAGAACGGAATGCAAGCACTATGTACTACGACTGTT